AGCTTCTGCTAATGAAAATAACATATCTAATGCATACAATATATGATTAAATCATGTAACTATGCTTTCAATTATAGATTTGTCTATTTATTTGGCAGCGCTATTTTATCTCGATTAAGAAAGAACTAGTAAAAATATGAATCAAGAAAGTTAAAAGAAAGTATTAATATAAGTTCATCAATATTAGTTTTGACTGTATGAGCCTATTTTGTGGAACAGCCTGTACAGCAGAGAAATTATGTATATTACAAGATGCGTACTACTCGTAAGATTCTTGTGCAATAAGGAAATTCTGCCTACTTAATTTCTAAATGGTCGCTAGGTCACGTTGTTTCGTAGCTTATGGAACAGATCGCTTGTCCCTTCGAAAAACGGAACTGAAATACTGACTTCTACAGCTGTAAACTACATACACAAGACGCGTGCATCCGTGCACCTGCGCACCACGCGAATATTTCGTCTAACTAGGGCCACGACGCGATTGGCGTCCGCGTAAAAAACTGGTAATAACTCTTTATATTAATCTCTGTTGATTAATTCATCGAATAATATTCACAGACTTAACTTATAGCCTAGACTTAACCTATGAGTTTTCTTTTTCTTTGGTGCGAAGACAGATCCTTGAAGGCGATCGCGTCACATTTTCAAAATTATAAATCACGATTGTAAAACTACGTCGCTGCATGATCGAAAGCTATGAATTTCGAAATTCAAATTTCTAAGTCACATTTTGTTTTAGAACTTATTGCAAAAGTAACGTTTAGAGCTACTTTTGATCTGTGCCTGCAGTTACATCTAAGCAAACGAGAAATTAAAATTATCTAAATTCGTATGACACGAGCCTTCGTGGGAGTTTGATTATTCCTTTCAGAACGCTCGATAAATCGACTGCTGCTGCCGTGTACAGAGTGTTCCATAATAAATAATTTATCAGTGATTCGCACCTATTACCATATTGGTATATTATCAGGGATGCATTCAAAGATACATTTCTCTAACACGTACAAAATTATTGTTTCTGTAGAATAAATACTTAAACCGTAGCTTTTTTCAACCATAGTTAAACTAAAGTACTGTGTAATATCAGATAAATTTTCTATTCTGTCATTAATTATTTTTGTCATGCTATTCCGTTACACGTATTCATGACAAAAAAATAGAATAAAATAAATTTTTGAGTTACTGAACAGATAAATATTAATCGGTAGATTGCAGACGCTGCAAAAACGTCGCTGACATTATGAAACACCTTGTACAACCTCAGCCTGTTTCCATCGATTCTTCGTTGACAGCGGATATATACGCAGACCTCGGTGAAACAATCGATCGAATGATGAATACATTCAGACGAATTTCATCAAATTTTCAAGAAATACAATTCCAAAAGCTACATCGAGATATCGATTAACTGTTTCATCGGAATGAAACATACATATAATTTTCTCCTATTATCCATTTTTCCTTTGCAATTTTCTTCTACTCGCCACTTAAGTGCCGACTTGTCCGAGTCTGAGTAAACATGACTTACGAACATGATAACACGAGCTGATCCGCTTATTCTATTACGAACGAATGCTGCGTTAAAACGTGCCACCCGACGAACATCGATTCCTTACGCTTAAAGTTTATCACGTTTTAGGAAGGCGCACCTTTACTTTTCATCGTACAAACTGAACCACGTTCGAAATACTGGTAGATGATCGAGCTTCCCCGCAGAAAAAACCGGCCGGCCCGCTTCACCTCGTTAGATCCACGAATCCGCTAAACGTTTTATTGCGTTCCGTATAAAAATCTCGCGGGTACGCGCCATCTTCGTTTCGTTTAAAAAAGAACAGGAAAAAATACGATTGAAATCGTCGTACGAGATTATCTGTTTCTTGGTTCCATGTTGCGCGGTGTAAAAATATCGCAGACATCTGGTTATAATTTGTACGAGCGTGTAAGAGTACTTTGAGAAGCTTACGGTTAGCACTTTCGGCGCCCGCCATTTTGTGAGGGCGCCATTATCGCCTCGAACGCTTCGATCTCACGACGGGTTAAGCTTTTAATCGCTTACGTTTGTAAATATTCTCGCAGGAATTCTTTCGAGAAAAAGGTTGTATCGTGTATTAAGGACACAATATTGCCCTGAATTTATTGCAATTTTGCGAATAATCGAAAAAACTTGGTGATCGTAAAGCCGTCCTCTGGAACAGCAAACATGGCGTGACGACCGTTCTCTTGTCGGCGTAAAGCAATTCATTAAGCCCGTGAATAAATTCCGTCGGTTTAACATTATTATTTGGAATAAATTGAATTCGAAATAATGTCGGTGTAGCGAAATTTATGTTCGTTGATGTAATTTCCTTAACGATGCTATTGCTTCTGAACGATCGCTTAAGTTTAAAACGTAAAATACGCTGGAGACTTTCAGTAGTTTCTTCGGCGTCACTCCCGCGCGGGGGGGTGAGCCCTTGGTAGCAGTCAGTATTCTTCCTCGTCTTCCTCGAACTCGTCCTCTCCCAGGATGCTGTATGAGTACATCAGAAAACTTGTGATAGAAAAGACTGGGTAGTGGTCCACGTCTTATTACATAGCTATGATTACCTCGAGGAATTATATTCATTCTTTTTTTAGCGGGAAATGTATGTCAAAGTGAAATTTAATATTATTTTTCTATCAATGTAAATTTCACTTCGTAGTACCAAAATAAAGTTCAATAATATTTTTAAATACTTCATGAAACGATTTTACTTCGAGTATCATAGTATAGTAAAACATGTTTTGCTTCGGTAAACAATTTCTTTCTATAATTGAGGTAACCAATACTATTATTTGTTTTCTAAATATACTAAGAAATTATTTGCAAACAAATGTGTTATTGATATTTTCTAAGTTCGTAAATTTGAAACTTTGCTTCATAATAAAGAAAGATATTCGAAATTGTTATATATTATACTTATTATATTTTGAAGTACAGGCCATTCAGTGCAAATAAGGCGAGACTAGTTTTATTCGTAAACAGAATAATAATAATTACACATAACATGTACGTACATATTACTTTTAATTTTCTTAGGAATAATAATAATTCCCCGAAGCAATTCTAAAATTGTATATAAAGTATAAAGGTTCTTCTAGCCGCACTGGGCACTGCATACATACACGTTACTTACTCTTCCTTCCTAGCGTACTTGTCAATGAGATTGCGGCCTGGTCCACCGCAAGTCTTGCCCATTGGCGGACAGTACCAATAGCACAATACACCGAGAGACACCACAAATAGAACTATGGGCACCACTAAAGCTAGTACCAGATGCCTTAAATTCTCATCCCAAGAATACCTATAAAAATACAAAATTATATCAATGTATTACGAGATTTGAGGGATACTACAATAAAACTAAGTACTTTAATATTCATGCTACTTCAAAATTTAATAACATTACTTTTTAAAAAAACGGCACGCTTCGAGACAAAGTATCAATTTTTTAAATTCTCTAAACATTTTCATGTTTCAAAAACATTTGCGTGATTAATTCAAAATTTCTATATTGATTGACCTTAGCGTTGAAACACGAATATATTGTACAGCATGGAAGTTTCACTTCGACTGAAGTCTAGTGCACTTCTTCGATAGACCGCTGATCGAGCAATTTTTAAGAACTAAGAGGTTTCGAGACTTTCAAAAGAACACTGTGCTTCCGATAACAAATGTTTCTATATAAAAGATCACTAATACCTACTTAAAATTTCCCTCGCAAGACAAACTAAGATCTGATAACGATATCATATTCCGATCATACGCGATCACCTGAACGAATAAAAGCGGCGATCTAAAATCTAGGAACGCATAGAAATACGAAGAAATTCTAAAGACACTATTGCACGAAACTTATTGTATATTTATAATTATTTACCCTCCGCGATACGTTATTCTGCTACAAAGGATACAACTGATAAAAAATTCCATTAAAGTGTAATTTCCAATGGAACGGAAAAAATAGAAGCTGGTGAAGATTTAAATCTTCAAAGGCACGCCATGTTTCACATTGTTCGTGATGTGCATCGGACACGACACGTATCGCGCGTCTGTTCCTGTTATTTCCCAGTAATACAGAGAGAATAGTGTAATTATACCTCGCGACGACAGTCTCGGGGTGTGTTCTGCTGTAATAACAGGGGAATATCTTCCCTATGTTCGAATATCCGTATTTCTTTGCAAAATCGGAACAGTTCACTCGTGGCGGATAGCCGCAGCCTTCCGTGTTCACGAAGAATTTCGTGTCTGGCACATCCCAGGGAATGGAACCGAGCGGCTTCGCCATGAATTCCTCGAACGATAGCCTCGTGTAGTTTACCCTGATTTGGTGACAACGCAGGGCGGCACTGGTACAACCTGCAACAAAGAAACGATCATATAAATATATTTCTTCTCTGATTTTCCATTAGAACACCATGAACTTTCAATTCTAACTTTCTTTATATTCATAAACACAATGTAATTCAATTTCATCAAGATTTATACTCTATTAATTAAATTTAAAATTAATTACATTTACCTAACCGTGTAGTATTAAATTATTAGTTAATAATAATTCTTTTCAATGTTCGTGTACTTTTAATATTTCACTTTACTTATTCAATTTAATAATAGTATCATACATTTTTCACTGAAATTTGATAATAATCCTGTCATTCGTAAAGCACCAAAAAGCAATAAAAAGTAAATTATTTTCTTGTTGGCCATGCTACAGATTTTTAAATACATTCAACCGAGGATAGATTGCATACGATAAAAACTAAGTTAACGGTAATCATACCTTCCCTGCAGCTCGCCCAAGAGCAGTTCTTGAGTCCCTCGGCGTAGACGTGATCGGTGACGATGCAGGCCACTGCGTGAGGAGAGAAGTCAGCCAGGATCGTCGATATCGCTGGCTCGACAACGAATGGTATCAAAAAGAGGAAGGCGAAAACGGCGAGGATTGCTGTGGTGCCCAGGCAGAGGGAGGTGTAGAACTTAGCCTTCTCGACCAGAGATGCGACCTCCACCACAGGAAGCACCCCACCCATGGTACTGGACTTGGTATCCTCTTCCTGGGCACCCATGATCACCGTCGACTCGTCGGAATCAATGATTGATCCGTTCCTTGGGTCCTTCGGACCCGCCTGTCCACTCTGAAATTATTTGTCCCTTCGGACTGCTCAACCTCTGAGCCTCCTCCTCCTTTCCTTGAAACGCAGTATTCTATTTCCTCGTAACTTCTTCCGTGCAAAAACGCTGAAGTGAATCAAATGGAAGGAATCTTCTCCGTCGCGAACCTTTTAACTTTCCCGCCAGGAATAAAATCGTTCTCGTTCAGATGAATCGGCGGAGTGAGCTTAAGATTATACTTTCAGAACAAGTGACAAAGCGAAGCGACTGAATTCGATTGCGCCCGTATGACGCGGATAGTTTCGGTTGCTATTGGTGCGGAGATCGTGGCCGATCATATACCAGCAAGGCACGTCCTTCGATACCGAAAAAGTGTTTCCTGGTGTACGTGTTTGTGGGTTTCGGTTATGTTAGTTTACGTTAGCACGTATCGATCATTTACGAAGAGAGATGTATCGTGTTTAAGAAAGTTCCTTATCTATGGTCACGGCGAATCAATCAGAAGGGGGACACTTAAAAGCTACCGACGCTTGTCACGTGTATAATAAAAAGACGCCGAATTGTCTTGTTCGTTTTGTTCCGTTGTTTCGTGTTTTCTTCTTATAATCCCGTCAGTATCCGAAATAGTAATGTTTCTCTTTTGTTTGAGCCCAGATTCAGGATCCTCTCCTTTGTCGCTGCAGGAGAGTTTAACAGCCGAGAGCAGCCGGCGGTGTCGCGTGTTGACGTACGTTTGGCGAACTTTCCTCTGTAGGCGGTGTCTCGTTTTTCCGCGTTGTCGTCACGGCGACGCGGGTACCACTTTACAACGAGAGAGATAGACAGAGACAGAGACAGCGAGAGAGAGAGAGAGAAAGAGAGAGAGAAAGAGAGTGAAAGAAAGAGACAGAGAGAGAAAGACAAAGACAGACAGAGACAGAGACAGAGACAGAGAGAGAAAGAGGGAGAGAGAGAGAGAGAAATGAATTTGTATGAAGCACGTGCGTTCCTCCCGAGAGTCGTGTTCTTGTGCAGGCAGTGCGAGTAGGAAAAAATTTTCTTTTTTGCTTTGGTACTGTTTTATGTTTTTTTGGTTCTCTTGACCGCTCTTGCTCTCCGGTGTTTGCTTTTGCTTTTACGTTTTTTTCGGTTTCTCGAGGCTTTTGCAGAAATTCTTTGTGTTTTGCTTTTTTACGCTTTTTGCAAGATGAGAATTTTAACCACGCGTTCCCCCCCTCCCCACACCTTAATAATGCCCGCGCAGGGAGAATATCGACTGACGAGCCGGACTCTCCTCCAGGAGGGGAATGCCTGCGAAAGAAAAGAAAAGGTTCAGTTAGAAACGGATAATTTTCATAATAACATTTGATTGTTAAATACTGTAGAAAGGATACAATAAATACTGTAGAATTTCTATCGTATGTAGCTTTCGAAGAAAAATAATTCATAATACTTGTATAAACTTCTAATTGTATATATTGTACTTAATACTACTATTTTTATTACATCTTTATAAAATAATATTATTCTCAGTTCTCGATCATAGACTTTACATTTTTCACTGGGAGTGTACGTATGAGTTCATCCTATAGGAATCTCGAACAGAAATAGGTCAACAACGTGGATAAATAATTATCGTGTTATTGGATATACTATTGTCTTTTAAAAATATCGATTCTTCTACAGAAAACATATTTCGAAATATATCCTTTTGAATTAAACTGTCAAATACGGCATTGCGACACTATTTGCGCTTGCTGTGTCTATCAATCAATAGATCCTGCTAAATGTTTGAAAACAATTTTAATGTTAACCTTGAATAAGTGTATTACATGAAAATAGTACATGATGTTTCGATTTCTTTCGTTATAATTTAACTACCAACATTAATTTTATCGACGTAAGTGTTTCAATATTTGTACTTAGAATTATTTCGTACAAAATCTACAATTTGATCTGTTATCCATTGAACAGAGGATGTACTTCGGCGTTTTGTCTACTTCTTGTCCTTTTCAAATGGCTTGGTACAGTGAACATTGAATAATTGCAACAATTTCGTAGAATTGATTCAATTCTACAAAACGAAGATTTTAGCGTGACAGACGTAGAACAAGACAACACGAACGAATAAAGAAGAAAGACTGAGAGTAGAATCGTTTAGCAACATTAAAACATTTTTATTTTTAAGTTTTGATATATGAAACTTTCACCATCACGTTTGTTATGTTTTTCTCATTAAAATGACACTGAACACGAAAAGATTGCCGTAAGAAATACTTGTATAACAAGCGATCGAAGTATCGGATGTAGGAAAGGACTGCAAATAGAAAAGAAAAACATTGAAATTGTCGATTTCGACAATAGTCGCATCGTGTTACGTGATTCAGCTATAGCTGGTCGTCGGACATCATGGTGTATCAAGAGAAACCTGGTGGAGATGTAGTGGGGATGGCGTTGCAATTATGAAGTGGTGTCCATGCCACAATTATCCAATGTTCACTGAATTTAATCTGTTAAGAAGATGATGTGTCAATTACGAGAAGCCTCGTAGCTGCAGTTACAGTGGAACAGAAATCTTCTAAGGCGACTTAACTTTTAACGAGTGTAAGCACTAAGTAATTTATACCGCCAGAGACACGATGAAAACGGATATACAAATATCGAGTTAAATACATTCGAAGGTACAATAATAAATTAATAATGAGCTGACTCGTCTTCTACGATTAACAATATCAAATGGTACAAAAGTACCAGATGACTCAGAGTAACCCATTAATGAATTCTTCTGTTACGGTGATTAAACCCCTAAAATTACTTCAGCGAATAGTTCCTAAATAAATTTATTCATAGATTACAATAACAATCGTGCAAAGTCTCAATAAACAACTCTCGGTATTTCCCTAAAATATCATAAAAAATTTACTTTCAGTGTCGAATACTCCTAAAGTTAAGTATTCTCGTGTTTTCGAAAAATAGATTTCCGACATTTCGGTAATTGATATAAACCAGCGATTCCACAAACAAATACTGCAAGTCCCCGCAGTGCGCAGCGATTCTTACGTGACGGATCTCAGAGCGCCATAGCAGAGTTTCCTCCGCCAGCATCCCCTAGGTTACCCGAATCGCTCTTCTCTATCGACGCGAGCGCGCCGGCCGTGCCCTTGAATCTCATCTTCGCGTCGTCGCCGACCACCACGCTCCGTTGACAAAAGATCAGCGTCAAACAACTAACTACGAACAATATGCTGGGCAACAGCAGCGCGATCAGGAACTCCTTGTACGTGTTCTCCAGATTGAACCGGGACACCACCACCCCTGTATTGCCCTCGGCATAGTAACAAGGGAATCTAGCGCGCGCATTGTGATCGGAACCATCTTTCCCATATTCATGCAGGAAATCCCTGCATTCGTCTCTCAAAGTGTTCACGCAGCCTTCAAGGTTGATCAACAATCTGCTTTCGTTAGCGATGATCAAGTCTTGCTCGGGCGGAGCGACCATTCTAGTTTCGTCTAGAGGCTTGGTAGCGTACAAATTCAAATAGGATAGGTAGGTAAAGTTGGTCAGATCGGTGAGAAGATCCTTCTCGAGGACAGAGCCGTTAATGCAGTCCACAGCCTCGACGCCCAGTGTCGAGTTGAATATTCCATAGCAAGACGCCATCATGATGTCGCCTCGGTCTTCATGCCAGATCTCTCGATTGCTCAGCACGTCTATGGCTCTCTCGCACTGGCTGAGATAGACCTTGTCACCGCTCAACAGGATCATATTCTTGTTCCTAGTCGGAATATCGACGCACCTGCGATCGCAGTTATAAGGCGTTCGTATGCGCTCGCAGGTGCCGCGGTTGCAATTGAATAAACCGTCAATGTCTATGCAATTTATCTTGCCGCGTCTGCCGGAACACTTCATCGGTAGATCGGTGTCATGGAATATGCACTCGAACGCGTCTGTGATGTTGATGCACACCCCGTTCGAGCAGTTGAAGGTGCCGGTCAGGTTGCGACATTCGTCGGCGATGCACTTCGATTTCTTCGCGTTCTCCTGGTCGATACCGTAGCAAGTCTTATTCGTGGTGTTTGTGCAATTGGCTAGGAGAATCGTGGACCCGTTCCTGCGTAGGTTCACGTGGATCTGTACGCAGGGGCCGGAGGTCTTCGAAAGGCACCACTCGCCGCAACTGCCCCAATCACAGATGTCGGCATTTATCGCGCGTATCGTCGTGCACATCACCGGTACCTCGCTGATTCCCGATTGGAACGCCCTGGTGCTGGGCATGTAGATCGCCACTGTCAGGTACACCAGAGCGACAGACGACAGCACGGCCGTCATCTGGCAGATGCAGATCGTGCCACATATCCGGCCATCCTGCGGCGGTATCACCAGGTCCTCCACTGGCACTTGCTTCGGCATCCTGTCCGGTTTCTCGCTCGATCGCCCAAGAGGATCCTGACGCCGAACAAATCTTGGCTACCAGCACCGTTACATCTTATGTCTGTCCATCCCGGTCGCGCGGCGCGATCTACATCATCGTGCACGGTGCTCGACAACACTGCGTGTCCTATATTTTAGGATTGGTCTCTTGATCTATAGCCCAGCTGTAACTATGGACCTTGTAGCTGGGGACATCGACGTTTTATCAATACCTGGCGTTACAGATTCCTACTCGCGCCGCCGACGAACCGTTCCATGGTGACGAGGGAAACGTTCAATAGCGTCCTCCCATCGGCTTATGGTGTCCCCTAGCTGTCCGATCGATCTATCGCCGCCCAGCAGGCTGCGCTATTTTTTTTATGCATCCCGTTGCTGTCTTCTATGAAAGCGCGTTGGGGTAGGTCCCGACGCTGGATCGTCGGCGATCAGGTTTCAGACGATCAACCACGGCGTTCAGGGCCGCGCGACACGTTTCGCGTCCCGTACACCGCGAATTCACCACGGTCGAGTCTCCTCGCGAGTATCGTGGGCCGCGGCGGCGTTCTTTTCACGGCAGGTCGAGGCTGGCCGCGCGCGTGTTCTGCTTTCCGTACCGCTTTGCGCCTCGTGTGAGCTGCGCGGCGTGTGATACGCTCGGCCGGGCGACGCGCATCGATCGATGCCGCGCGCAAGCGTCCCGGCGAACTGCAACGACGCCGTACACTGCCGCATTTGACGTCATCGGTATACCGTGCCATAGGATCATCTCTGTTGCAGGATGATCGTCCAGAGATGGCGGGATCCGCCGGATCCCCGCGGATCGTTCAATCCCTTTGAATCATGGGCGTCCAATCTTTAAACCCCCTTGGGTTAAACTCAGGAGAAGACGTTGTCTTGGCATGTAACAAGTGTGCGCAAAAGTATCTACAATCTGTTGCTTTTGCCAATCGAGTCTATGACATCGTAGGATTGCAACTAAATTGTTTACAAATAGTAATGTTCGAACTGTATAATCATGTGTGGTTGCAATATCACTTATCGCGAGCCACGAATTGGACATGTCTGTTTTTAGATCATGGGTGCCCCACCTTTTAGTTTACCTGACTCACACTGAGAGAAGAAAGAATTGTCTTGGGCATGTAACAAGTGTTTGCAAGAGATTTTACATCCTTTTCATAATACGTTGTTTTTGCCAATTGAATTCGTAATACCTGTATGTAAACTGTGGTCGGATAACTTATATATAACAGTGTTAAAATGTATAATCTTGTGGGGCTGGAATATTACTTATCACGTACAATTATCTGGATATATCTGCTTTTGATGATACACATAATACCTCTCATTATAATTTTATTGGAACTGGGTTTTTGGGAGTAGTTTAATTCTAGATTATTTTGAAATACTTTCCATAAATTGTTCTGATTAATTCAGGAAGAAACATTATGTACTATTCTGAAATATTATTGCTGTAATACTATATGTAAATACTACATGTCTTGAAATAAACGCTACTCGATAACACATGGTGTGAAAGTAGGTTGTAGATCAAACGTGCTAACTTTCCGTAACCGTGTCAGACGACGCTTGGTGTTTTAACAAGAGTGGATCAGGTTAAATGTATGCGTCGTTGCTATGGCTACGTAATACTAGTATGAAGAAAAATATACTTGACACTAAAATAAGTATCCGACGCCAATTTTAAAATTGACAACGGAAAATATTGAAATATCAAAGAACATAGATAATTTTGTAAATTTTCAAACTTGAAATAAAACAATTCAAAAAGTAATATTTAAAGTCGCGAAGTATATAATGTTTATAAAGAGTCGAAATAAAGTATCGAATAATTGTTTAAAATCATAAAAGTGTCGAACTTTTTTTCTATTCGCTCGAGTCGTAAAACTTTTCGCCAAATACGTCTGCTGCAATAACACAATTTCGTAGGTTTTATGGAAATCGTTTCAGTTCACTACTAATTTTATTCCAGGTCGTATCTTAATATTAGCAAAGAATTGATACCAGAATTTCAATTCCGGATTTATTAAAAATTCGCAGGTCACTCATTTCAAGCATTCTATATAAATGTCATTACCAAATTAAAAAAAAACTACTTCTCTTTACACATTAAATTTTAAATCTTATTTATAATAAATTTTGTTACAATATACAAGTAGGTCTTGTCATTTTTTGAGATTATATTACAAATATTATAATTCACGTAAATATAAGGACATTTAAATAAATAAATCAGAAACAAATTTTATCGGAAAGTCCATTTATATGGAAAGCACGAGTTAACACCTCTTTCTCGGTTGACAGGTGAAATTGTAATTTATACAGAGCTCTAATTTTATAGACCATCAATAATGTCGTTATTTAAACACACTATAAAAGAGTGAAGAAATAGAATGCCCATAAAAATACATTCGGCTAAAATGTATATATTGCTTTCACGATATCCGCAAGGATTGCGTTAATTTTTTTCCTACGAGACCATCAGCGGCCGACACGAACGGTCGAGGCAACTGTGACACAGTTTTCCCCACCATAGGGCTTTCAGAACGTGTGACACAGTTTGAAAAACGAAGCAACAGAACTATAGGAAACAAAACTGTATAAAAACCGCGAAGCTTAAAGCACTAACGCGTGATTAATTGCGCAGCCAATGAATGTAACATTTTCTTCCGATTTTCGTCACCTGTTATTCTTTCCCAAATTTTCTAAATTACCTGCCCCGATTTTGGAACAATATAATGTGACAAAAAAGTAATATTAAGATGAAGAACATTAAAATTTGAATTGTGTAATGCAAAATAGTTTTTCCTTTTTAATAAGGAACGACATTTCAATAAACTATTCTAAGCAAGATAAAGTGTTTTTACCTTAAGGAAAAGTTCAGAAATATAATTATTTTTTAGATCACACTTTTGATAAAAAAAAGATTATATTTCTCTCAAATACTTTCTTAAAAAATACTCAATTATTCAAGGTCTATCAATTTTATCATTAAAACGCTACTACAAACAGTATCCTTTACTCAATTTAATTTAAGACATAATTTAACAGAAATGAAATTCAATAATCCATGATCTAATGGGTTAAAAGAATACTTTATTCTTACAAAAGAAGACGATCAATTTGAAGCAACCTACCTACCACGGTTTGCACAAAACTTCAAAGCGCCGGTACCCGCATGAAAATTCATAAATTACCGCAGTTACACGGGTCAGAATCTTCTAGGGGTCGTAGCACTTTCTCCATCAAGGGAAGAAAGAAGGAAAAAAGGTTTCGAGAGCGCCGGTGTTCCCTGTACAATGCAAATCACGATCACGCGTGCCTGCATGATGGGATGCAAGTGTCCGCGGCCGCGGAACTTTAAATCGCGAAATTAAAACGGGGTGCGCGATAACGCTCGTTCCCCGGAACCACTTAATTATCACCGAGCATTTTCCATAACATGTACGCTCCAGTTTTTTTAATTCCCGCAGAATTGATGCCGCCATGAGGTTGCGACACAGTTTTCGGTCGTCGCTGGTAGGACCTTCGGAACGAGTTGACACAGTTAAGTTAGCGCGTCGGCGTGGGGCGAGCGACATCGCAGAACAGGGAGAGAAGGGAAGGGTAAAAAACGAGAGAAAAGGAAGAAGGAATAGAAGGCTTGACGCGTTAGCACGTAATGTAGTTTATCGAGCGTCAGCCGCAGACGGTGTGGCGCCGGTTGCTTTGCGCCGTGCGTGTCTCGCCTGCCACTTGCAATTCCACTGCGAGACTTCGCCCGCATCGCGAATGAAAATTCAGAACGTTCTGTCTTCAGACATCCTTCGTAGCACTGTGTTGGAACGCTTTGTTGTTCTGGTTGTCTTTGGGCATAACAGGCTGCGGATTTATCGTGGCTGGCTGCGGTAATTTATAGCAAAGATGGATTTTTGTATTCGAAGAATTATCATATGTTAACCCCTTGTCTCATTACAACATGGTAGACTCGGTAAAGATTTTCAGTGTGGTTTAACAAACATAAATATTCATCTGTTCATTCGAATTCAAAGTAAATATTATTCTTTTGTAATCAATTGTTACACTTAAAAGGCATAGGATGTGCCTAGAATTTTTCTCTTTTTCCAATAAATGATTAATAACAGAATTGTCGTATCGATCAAAGTTGAGAAAGAAATCATAGACAATGGAGTTAATACTGGCTTTATATTGTTCATTCGTACACAGTAAGTTACCGTATAATGCGGTTAATATATTACGCATCTGAATTCGCGTTATAAAAAGTCGTGCTGTACGAGATTTCTCTCCTATAACATGTATAATAGAAAGTAACATGTTCCAAATGATTATTATCATGTCGGTTCTTATTTACCATTTTATGAAAAATAAACGAATTCGAAAATAGGAGAAATTAGTAAGAGCGAAGAGAACGATGTAATGATCAACTTAATCTTTGTTTTACGCGTTCTGCGAGGAATTGTGTTATAGGAAAACGGTAATCGAAAAATCTTCGGCGCGTTATAGGAACTCGCGTTATACGGAAGTCTATACTACATGATTTAATATAATGTTATGAAAATACATGCTGGTAAATTAATTTTATAATTAATAACTAGAGAAGATAAAAGTGAAGATAACGATATAAAAATTATAACTTAATATGTAATTTCTACATTTCATAATCGAAGAAAAATATATATTGGAATTATAAATTGCTGTATTAACATCAAATTACGAAAACTATTAAAGTGTTTTTGTCAGAGTTCATATTGACTTCTATCAAAATAAAGGAAGAAGTGTAATTTTTTTTGCATCAATTATCCTTACTTAGAAATTCTGTGATGCATACGCCAAAAACCACCAATACGTAATATCAGTAATTTCGTAGTTTATTTTATTTATGAAAAAAATTGGCCATTTGCGTGTGGAACAGATCGTGAATTACAGAAGCTGTAAGCTTCTGACAACCGGACCTGACCGTCAGTTTTCCGAATAAGAGAAACTTATGGTATTTCGACAGCAATTTCCATTTGTTATCTACAGCAATAAATCTTGCAATTTACTTGCAAGAAATATTTCGAACAGTTTTATTTGAAGAATAAAAGAATAATCGTAAAACGTTAACAATTTATGTAACTGAAACTTTTGTAACCTTTCGTTGAGTAATCATTAAAATTGCAAAAAATTATAAATACTAACAAAAGAAAACTATTTTGTAAATTTCCATCGAGTCAATGGACTTAGTAAAGACAAATATCATAATCCCACTTTCAATGATGGTTATTCTAGTGCCAAGCAACAATGGCTCCCAAAATATATGTCGCCGTGCAAATAACATTCACACCGAAAACCCGAGTAATTTGTGTAACAGACGTTTCCTTTCATTCCATTAAATCCTTTACGTCGCGGTCAGCATTGCTCGGTATCTAAACTCCGATGCTATTGTGTTAACACTTTCAGACAGGGTAACTTCGGCCAACACTTGAAACGATTCCCAACAATACAATAACTGAATCGGTCGAATGCTCGCCGCGGCGAGTGGATTGAATGGCCGTCAGAAGTTCGGAGCATCATCCAGCCTGCTCTAACGTCGCGATTAATTTCGCTTGATGCCACTCGTTTCCTTCGTCTTCTTT